TAGAGAAGAAAGATTAGGAGAGCCGAACCCAAATAAAGGTGGGAAAAGACCAGAACAAGAGAAGAGAGAGAAATGTTTTCCACAATTTTTCAATAATGATTACGGTCGAAAAAAATTCAATCACTTGGCGAACACTAGGTTATATAAAAAAGCTACCATTTAATTTCGTTATATGTAGAATTAAGCCATTAAATTAATATTTAAGAAATAAATTTCTAAAACCGTATGATTGTCTTTCCATATAAAACTAAAGACATCTTTAAAGCTCTTCAACGCTGTAAACGTTAGCTTCAAAGGGAATGAATGTTTTTATTCAAACGTTTTTCATTCAACATTTACTTTGATACACGTTATAGAATATATTTTTAAAATATTTTCTTACTTTTCTTTATTATTTTTAAACTGAACAACTTGTAGAGTGTTTTTATTACAACTAGGTCAGTGAGTCCGGGGGGACTTCTCATCGATAATATTAACTTTTATAAACTAAACCTATACATCAATTCAAAACGTTCTAACTTTATAAAAAAGGGACTTGTATATATGTACTAGGGTGTGCCCAAAAATGACGATATTTTTTTTTCTTCGCTCTCACCCCAAAATATCTCAGAAAATGTCCCAACAAAGCTCCTGTTAAAAGCGGAGCTCAAAATTCCAATTCTAAGAGGTTCTCCATCGAATTTTAAGTTTTCCCATACAAATTACATGGAAAAAATGGATTTTAATACTTTTTTGTCTTGCAAACTGTGACGAAAATGTTTTTCAAAAAAATGAATGAATGGACCTTTTTTAGTATTAAATTTACTACAAAAAGTTCCATTGAGTCGAATTTCCATCTTCAATATTTGATTTGTTATATAGCTTTAAAGTTCAAATTTATGGTTTTTTGAAATTTTTAGCTAAACTATAAGAGTTACAGAAAAAAGTTAAATGATTTGTAGTACGTTTAAAATCCTATAAAAAAGTTTCTGTCAACTTTTTCATATAATCAATAACAACAAAGTTACAGGCTCACGAATATTATTTTTTTCAAATTTTTGCTCTTACAAACTGAAATATCGATAATTCAACAAAAAATTGGTGCAACATGGGATAGATCAGAAATAATGTATTATCAATAGTTAATAGTGACAGACTTATTTGACATATTTTAATGATTTTTCAAGTATATTATAAAATATATTGATAAAGGACATAAAATATTAGTAAGATATAAAAATAAAAAGCACAGTCAACTCTGTAATTTCAATATTTATTTCAATAATGTTTTCATTTGTATGTATTTAATATTTATGCAAGAAAAAAATCGTAATAATAATAATAATATTGTTAACATATTAAAGCTACAGGTTAAATAAAAATTTACGATGGTAAATTTTGTCGTAAATCGACAAATTTGATGTAATTGCAAATTTACAAAAGGTCTGTGTTTATCTTATTATGTATACTGATATTATAGAGGCAGAGTTTGTTTGTTTGAACGCGCTAATCTCAGGAACTACTAATCCCATTTGAAAATAATTCTTTTTGCATTAGATAGCCCGTTTATTGAGGAAGGCCGTTTATATAGGCTTATATATCATCATGCTATTACCCCATGGAGCGGAGCAGTAGTATAATATATAGTCTATCTATTCCATATTAACCGTTTACGTACCTAGGGACGAACAACAAGTATGACGTAACAACCATTATTTAGATAAGTGATTTTGTTTTAAATTACATTGCCATCTTAGCATTTCCATCAAAAATCATTTTTATAAAAATATAACTCTAGATATTCCGCTACAGTGGGTACGTCGTTAGTTGCTCTATAGAGCTGAAATATGAGATCTAGAAAAATGTTTTAGTGCCAGCGTGTTCGCACAAGCGTAAAATGGTATAACCTACAATTTTCATGATTTTATTTACTAGTTTAAAAAATAAAAAATAGTTAAAATTAGTACCTATAGCTTAGTATTTAATTTTTCACAATATCAGACCTATGTTATTTATACATGTAATAAAATTCTGAGTCGAATCTCTACATTGGATATTTTTTTGGAAAATCTTACTGAAATAGTCATTATTATCGATACACAAGCCGAATCTATAGTTTTAGAATTTTAGTCTGTCTGTCTGGGAACGAGAAAACCACTAGAAAGATTTTGAAATTTAGTATGATGATAGCTGGTTATCCGGATCAACATATACTTTTTACTGCGGGAAAATATCTCATTTCTGAGAAATCTATACTAACTGTTAAAACGTATCTGAAGATGAACCCAAGCGGATGGAGGGTGAGTGGCTAGTTTATATTATAAAGTTACATGGCAGACTCATCAGTTAAAATACTAATAAAATGTCATTCAATCAATCAAACTCATCAATCTCAAACGAACAGTTTATCACCTATCACAATCTTTTTAAACCAATCATTAGGTACTAAAGAGTAAATGCAATATTGTTTATAATTATTGGAGATATCCATACAATATTTGTCTAAAAGAGTCGGTTGTTGAAATTTTTGAAACAAATATAAAAAAAAACATTTCATTTCAAACAAACCAACAACCAACATATAATAATTGAATACTTAAAATTATAATGTGAACATTTATGAGGATTGATTGATGTCTGAATGTATAGAATAACACAGGCTACTTTTTATCCCGGAAAAACGTACGGCTCCCGTGGGATAGATTTGAATATAATTTCAAATTAATGTTGTAAATTGTATGAAAACATTCATTCCCTTTAGAAAGCAAGTAGCGTTTCTGTTCACCAAGTTAAAACAGTAAGTAATCGCTTTAGAAATGTGACAGTTGTGCGCGGCGTTGATAAGAAAATAAAAAAGCGCACCTACAAAGTATAAAGGATTGAAAGCCTATTGTTTTCGACTAAGTTGCATGAAAATGGGTATATATAAGTATTTTTAGCAATCAAATTTATGGACTTTATGGCTTTTTTGGATTTGTTTTAAATGGAAACCCCCGTTTAGTTATTTTTTACATTTTAGTGACTGGAACTCGGTTTTTTTAATGGAAGTCGGTTAATTAGACTACGGCCTATAGGAGTAACTATAGACTATTTTAGTAATAATATTTGCCAAAGGGTGGCACTACTTGCATCCTATTATAAATATGCGCGCCCACACAGAGATGCTGAGAGGTGAGGTTTGGTCGTTAGTTTTCTCATAAATTTGATAATTTTTGTTAAAAATTCTTTAAAGTCTACACAAGATTAATATTTGTGTCATCGTAATAATAAATTATGTGGAACAATACACTGGAACATCAAGGCCCATCGTTGTACGCTCGGTTATTAAACACCCCTTATCTTTTCACAGTGTGAAGGACAGTGTCATGAATGTGTTGAGCTAATTTTTAATTTTCCAGCTTATTTTGTATGCAAACTGTATACAACAATAACTTTTTATTTGAAACTTTGCTGGCATTAAAATTTAAAGAACTCTTGCTTTGCTTGGCTTTGTTCTTTGAAATTATACTAAAATTTGTGGTGAAAATTTAGTATAAATACAGTTATATTTTGTGAGCGAAATAATTGATTAAAATTCATAATCGAGAAAGATAAAAATATCCTGATTTAACAAATAGATGTAGATTATACCACCTTTACCGATGTACCTACCACGCGAGCGGAACTGCGGGACAAAAGTAATAAAACATACATATTGAATACAGAAGCGAAAACCACAAGCTGTCTCGATTACTCGCAAAGTGTAACAGCGACTGACAATTTCAACCGAAGCAACAAAGGCTAAATGTACAAGCGATTTCTACTTTGACACGACGCGACGCTTAATTATACGAGCGTTTTTATTCAACGCGATACTTTTATTTCTATGTAGGTGTATTGCAATATTTTAATTGAACCTTTGTTATTTTTTTGTTATTGTAAATTGACTCGCTTTGACTGGAAACAGCGATAATAATTTTATATACAAAATTGTAAAAAAATATATAGTAACGAGCTTCGTTTTCTATATTAAATATCTCTTTTTAATTTCGACAACATATTTAGTATTTATCTATAGTGATGGAAAAGAAGTTAAATAAACTTAAATTTTTTTTTTTGTGCCAAAAGAAAGTTATTGAAAATTTGAATAAAATGTTTTTAAAATTCGTTATGTAGGATAATTCACGACTCTATTTATCCCATTCCACATGTTGTCTGGGACAGATCTCATTTAGAGATACACCTACCTAACCATATTAGTTTTTAGACACATGTAAAGAATATATTATAATGTCACTGCCTACTTTTTTAGACTTTTTTAGACCTCACACATAAAGCCGGTTTAAAAATGCTAACGAAACAGGGACATTTAACGTTAACGTCTAACACTAACGTAAGTATAGGTAATTGGTTGACATCATTAACTAATAATTCCAACAAATAACTTCTCTAATAAATAATTCAATCAGTCAAAACAGGGTAAATTTACTTTTAACCAGAAAACCTGACTCAATTTTAATTAACCTTAATATTAGATTTTTAGTTGTTTTGTAATCAATAATATAATTCGTCAATTGAGTCCGTGTAAGTGACCTTCGTGGTCTAGTGGATAACATGTACGGCTGTATATCCAAGCTCCTGGGTTCGCGTCCCGGGTCAGGTCAAGCTTACTTATAGAGTTTTCTTGTTAAAAAACAGTTATGGTCTGGAGTTGGATAGTTAGCGGTGTTTTACCCTTGGACAGCATGTAAAGCCGTAGATTTTGCGCCTGATCTCCGAAATGTTGTGTCAAATTGTCATCCCACCGTACTGAGAGTGACCAGAATAGATAGTTTACTTATTTTTGGGCGTATATTTTTGCAATATAATATCTACCATACAGATGGCTCTCCTCAGTGACATTCGTCGACTGTAGCCAAAATCGGTGAGAATGTCCTTCTCAATGTTTGGGGTCCTTCAAAATGTATGGGGGAAGTTATAATAGCTTATAAAAATATGTCATTGATTTCGATGTCTGCTACCCAATTATGAACAAAACTTACCTTATCCACAGGCATGGAAGGGCACGCGCGGCACAAGTTCCAGAATGAGCCGATCATCTGGCGGCAGCCGTCCGGCTCGTGCGGCTCGCGGTGTCCAAGCTAGCGCCCTCACGTGTGGGGCATGTGATGCTGCTGTGGAGGAGAAGAGGAAGATGAGAAAATATTATCTCTGTCACAGAAATGAGAAATATCCATGCGGTGAATCCCTATAACCTATCCGTGGTTTTCCTATTAGAAATAAAAAATTGACATATTTTGTATGGAGTTGTTTCTGTTATCAAATATCTCATTAGTAATGAAACCGACAGATAGATTATTGATATTCGCTGAATATATGATTCGATATTCTATGTGATATTTTAGATTTTATTGGTCTAGTCACCTAGTGGGTAGCATACTTGGTTGCATGTTTCGAGGTCTCGGGTTCCAGTCCCGGGTCAAGTTACTCCCATAGTATATCGATAAAAGATAGCTTTTTTTATCCCTCAATAGCCTTCCATTTCGACTATACCTAACTTAAACAATTTTAAATAACTTTTAGGTAAATCATAATTCTTTTTCAGTGAAGTAACGAAAATCGGCTAATATATGGAATGGCCAAATAACAAATTAAAGGTGCTAAAAATCCTGACACATTTGCCAAGCACGGTATTATTTAATATGACACTATAGTTTATTTGCATCACTTGAAAATGGGTGGACAGATTTGGTTTATTTCTTTATATATTTTCTTACCAACCCGCACTTGGTCAGCTTGGTGGACTACGACCTGATTCCTCTCGTATTGAAGAGAGGCCCGTGCCCAGCAGTGGGACGTTAAAAAGGGCTGAATACAATACAATATTTTCTTAAGAGTTCGAATAAGTTTTTGAATGGGAAAAAATGGAAATGTTGCACAGAATATTGGGAAGTTTTGGTGACCATAATTGCAAAAAATAATTTGCAACATCAGGAACCATAAATCAATATAAATCTGGGAAATAATTCGAAAATATAGTTTTATTTAGCATATTTCTTTTTGTAATACGACACAAAAATGTTCATATTACCATAAAATACTAAGACAAAATAAACACACTTGTAATATTATGTACAAATAAAAATGTACTATAGGTAGGTATATATATTAAAATGAAAATTTCATACGCTATTTGTCATGTAAAAAATCTCAGCATATTTTAAATATTTTACAACTGAACGAAAATAGTGAAATAAAAATTGCAATCTCGGAGCGGAGCCAATTTGCTTTTACAAAAGATTGCCATTCGCTATACTGACCGCTAACATAATGTATAATGCGCACCAAATATATGTATGTATATAATACTGTAAAAACAATGAAGCTTGATTTAATTAAAATGCAAACGCGTATTATAAGCTAAAGCTTTCAAGTTTTATGTAAAATTTTTAGGGAATTATTTTCAATTCAATTCATTTTTTTTGTTAATGGCTTCAAAGTGACAATACTTTTGATTCACTCTCTTGTTTTACGTCTCACTGCTGGGTACGGCTCTTCTCAAGAATGCGAGAGGAATCACGTCTTAGTGACCATGTTGGCCAAGTGCAGGTTAGTGGACTTTAAATGACCCGCGAAAACTAGTAAGTTTCTCTCAAATATTATGCAGGTTTCTACACGAAGTTTTTTATCGTAAAGCTAGAGGCCACGTTGAAAATGATTTGCACAAGAAAATGTCAGAGATCCTATTCAGGATTTGAACCCGCTTCACTTGATTTTCCACTTTTGATAAAGTATGATTACTTTTTTACCAGAAAGGGCACATATTTCGCTAAAGTACTTTAAATGTTGAAACTTATTTGTTAATAACTTGAGGTATTATGTTCATAATTCATTTAAAAAAATAACCATTAGTTAAAATATAACGTTAAAATAAACATAAACTGTTACTCAACAACTCTTATAACCAACAAACAAAATAAATACTTAAAAAAAAATTGTTTTATTTAATAAAATTACATTTCATTTTAATTCTAAAAGAATTTCTTTCACTCATTTCTTTACCATTAGGGGTTTATTGTGAAGTAGCTAATTAAAAGTTTCTTTCGCATGTCATTAGAAAAATTCAAATATAGTGTTTCTTCTATTGAAGAAGCTTTATAAGTCAAAAATAAAATAAAATCTAGAAAGTACATTTTTCATATATTTACTCACATAATATTGCGAAATGGTGATTTTTTTAATATCTTATGACAAGTTTTTTTCATAAAAACTATGAATTAACCCATCTTAATTTACTCAGACGTTATTAAAATCGCCAAATGTTTAAATATTATTAGAAATTAGGTATAAAATATTATAAGGATCCTATACAAACTACTTCATGATCATTTTGACGACACGTTTGGCTCAGTTTGAAGTGACCCTCCTTGCTGTACCAGCGGTCGCGGGTTCGAGTCCCGCTGGGGGCAATAGCATTTGTGTAATGAGCACGAATATTTGTACTCTAGTCATGGTATTATATTTATAATATGTATGTATTTAAAGTTATATATGTATATTGTATCAACTATCCGGTGTCCATAATACAAGCCTCGTAGCTTACCATGGAACTAGATGGTGCTGTGTGTTAATGTCCCAACATATTTATTTATTTATTAGTAGGTATGTTACTCTCCAGTGTACAAGTTATTTTAATAATAAAACAAACTAAAAATAATAAATATTTAATTGTTTATATAATACAAATTAAACGCAATTCGTTTGTAAGCGCATCATTTTGAACGGGCTGAGCCGACTTACTTACCTAATTGCGTTTAAAAATTATTATAAATACATGATGTAGAATTTTGAAGTAGTTAAGGGTCACTACTATATAATTAATCACCAAAGGTTAGTTTCATGACCAGCAGCAAAAGGTGAATACCCTATGAGAAGTACTTTAGAGGTCCGCATGAAACGTAACTTTAGCGAATGTTCTTTTCTGACTCGTCTACTTTGAATTCTGTCTGTACTAATTCTAGATAAAAAGCTCTTGATCAGTATCTTTACGCATTCAAAATGGAAAAACAAATGAACCAGTAGCGTATATAAAATCTATATATATATATATATATATATATATATATATATATATATACGGATGTATATCCTTTATGTGTTCTCTTAAATCATTGATCCGATTGTGATGAAACTCTGGTGAGTTCTGCTGTATACGCCAGCGAAGGTTTCTAGCCCTAAAAAAAGAATATTTCTTTAGATGTTTGTCTTTCATGCCCTTAAACCATTAAAGCTTAGGGACGCACCAGAGTGAAGCGAAATTAAGTCGTTAGTATTAAATAAATATTAAATATTATTATATCAATTAAATATTCTATTTGTTAAAATAAAAAATCTAAAACCATAGACAATTACACAATTTTCTAACCCCACTAGGTTACTTCTGGACTACTTATCAAAGCATATTTGACGTCCATAAGTTCATTTACCCTGCTGAAAAGTCAACGCGGTCAAGAACCGAGGCAATGCGGGTTAGTTTGCAGCAAATTCTTTGAGGAAATCTTGTTCAATGCGATAATTCATTTAATGAGTGTGATGAAATATTTTCTTCCCTATACTGAGACATTAATAATGTGAAATGTTTAGTTAAAATATAAATATTGATTTTAACGACAATCTAACACTGACTAACTGACAGACAATGCCTATTATAAGCACTGTAACAGTATAGAATTGTGCACAATAGTTCCTTTTTGTTCACGTGAGAACTTTTCTTCTTATAAGTTTTCTTCCACATCTTTCATTTTCTTATATTGCTGGATCTCTTGAAATGTTAATATTATTGATTTTATTTTAAACAGACAATTTTTCTCTAATCATTTATATTATCTTATTTTATTTTTAAATCTTTACGTTATACCTACGAATAAATAATAAGTCAGGAAAGGTAACTGCGTTAAAAAAATTACCCAACAAAAGTCGTGTTCAAGTAGGCGTGGCTTAAAAGTCGTGTTCAGCGCTCATCAGTCAGATATTGTTCTTGCAGCGAGCACATGTTAAGTTTTCGCGTACGTTTAAATTTTTATCATTGTGAACTGCAGCTATGAATCATAGTGCCAGTATGTGGTGCATGAGCGATACAATATTAAAATGTCCAGGAATTACTTTTCACTAGTAAGTTGTAGCAAAATTATAATGACTATATTAAAAGACTTAGAATAACAACACGAAATAGCGTTATTATTCTAAGTTCAAAGATGTTCAAATGACATTAATACGTTGTCAAACCGAGATTGCCAATACTATGCAAAATGAAGTCAGTTAACTTTTGACCTAATTTAGGCGGTATATTTTTTCTTCTTGATAAAATATTGTAATGGGAATAAAAAAAAATGAAATATAAATTTGTTTTCTTTTAGTTTAACTTCAGAATTCACTACGAATTCACTACAATGCGAAGAAAGATTCTCTTTTAATGTCTTCTAGACAAAAACTTAATAATTTAATTATATTTTGCGGCACATAGAGTTCATTGAATTGTAAAAAGTAACCCAAAATACATACATATAAATATATACATAAAAAAACATCGTAGAATAATATTGTTTTTAAAACATTGTAAAAAAATATTAAAATAATACATTGTATTATATAAAACATTGTTTTATTATTGACTTGGTCCGGTCCACTTATTGTATAACATTGTCCACGCCACTATGATTCAGCTGTCATAGCAGACATTGCAGTAGATGTACAAACCAATCCCTGCTTTCATCCTGAATTTAAACCAATCACCAAACATATCTGTTCGTAACCTCAGAAGAGATTCGTAGTTTGAATCATACGTCGTTTTGGTTTGAAGTAGGGCTATTTTTTGTGTGAAATTTGTTCTGAATTAGACTTCCTGACTTATTATTTATTCGTAGGGTTATACCTACTATAATTTCATTTAGGTATCTTCTGGAATGGCGTGTAATGTGTATAGATTAAATTGAACACAAATTGTATCATGATACTTTAATTTTTTAAATTTATTGTGTATGTATTTTTTTATTTGTTACCTATTTCTATACCTAAAAAAACCGTAATGAGGACTGCCGAC